ACAAATAATAATTTTAAAAAAAAAACAAACAAAAAAAACACGCCATTGGCCTAGAGCTGCCATAGACCAGAATGCAATTCGGTATAGATTATGCATCCCAGCGTACTTTGCAAGCACGAGGCGAGAGATTGTTGTCTGGTTGTCTTGTAAACATGGCTGAGAAGGATTGGAACAAATTCAAGGATAAAATGAAAAGCAAGAAAGCTCAGAAGATTAAAGAAAAGCCAATTAAGGGGAAGGAAAAAACAAATGAGCTAGTAATACAGCGTCTGAGCGCAACAGTTGCTGGTAAGGCCCAGAAGTACTCCCGGATTGGTCCTCGTGAGTTTGTAGCTTTCGATCAGGACGGTGACGAATTTACTATCGAAGGTATCAAGAAAGCGTGCGAAAGGCACTTTGCCCCGATTTTAACATCTAAAATGACCTGCGATATTCTTGCAGGCGAGCAAGGGCCATCTTGTTCAACTGTAGCTCAAATACCTAACACAAAGTTGATCCATGTGCGATTCATTGCTGGTACATCTGAGGTACATGCTTACCAGGACATTGAGGACAGTAGCTCATCTGAACCTGAAGAAGTCGGTCCTGATCCATGTAAAAGAACGCAAAGGAAATCGAAAAGTGAACCTTCCCCAACTAAAAAAAAGGTAASTGAGTATCCTAGGAGTTTGTCTGTCGTAGACATGATGAAGCTTGGTAGACTCGTAAAGAAACAAAGAACAAGCCTGATTTCACTCCACGCATTTAACATCTCTGACATGTCGTGGACCAAAGAACCAATGCCTGTTGAATTCACCATTGAAGAACAGCCACTGGGAACTGGGGGTTTTAGGAAGGCCATGAAAGCATCTACGACACATTCCAAGTATTCCAGCAAACTGTGGGTCGTAAAAATATACTTGCCGAAAGCACTGGACGACTTAAGATTGTTGAATCAACCTGTGGATTGTCACACTAAAAAGGTAGTGCAAATGCATAGTTTGGCAAGGAACTTTGCAGTTTCTCTGGCAAACAAAGTCAAGGGCTCTAAAGAATTTGGCCAGCCTATCCAGTATACGGAGATATATTATGGGACAATTGACGAAGAAGAAACTGTAAATGTCACAGTAGAGGAATTTGTCCCGGGAGAATTTATTAAGTTTATCACCAACAATGGAGAGATTGTTGTAGATAAAGACAGTGAGTTTTGTAAGAAAGCACAGTGTCTTGCACACTATTCGTATGAAAAATCTGAAAAGTCAATGATGGTTCTTGATATTCAAGGCAGTGGTAATGTGATGTATGATCCTGAAATAGCTACGTCAACATCAAAAGGTGATGATGATGGTGAGTTGCTCTTTTGTGCAGGTAATTTATCAGATGCTGCTATTACCAACTTTATTGCTGAGCACAAGTGTAATGAGTATTGCTTTTTAGCTGGGCTGCAAGAGCTCACAAATGTTGACCCATGAGATAGATACTTTTTTTAGCACTCAAGAACTTCGTTTGTCTTAAGTTGACAACTGAAACAGTTCAAGCAAATAATATAAGTTTATTTAAGTCACTGGCAATGCGTGGCATCCAGAATATGAAGACCCCGAACCATCTGAAAAGACTTTGAACTTATTTAATTCTGTTGTACATTTTAATTTTATTTACTTGTCGATTATTTATTACTTATTAATTATTTTACATCTCCCAGCATTAGCTCTGCTATTTGGGAGTATAAGTTCCAAGATCCAACACTTTTGTGAAATAAGCGTGAGGCAAAGGAGATTTTCAGACTAAGAGGTATTATACTGCTCATTTACAGTGCAGCTTATTCTAATCAAAGCCACCCAAACAAATGTACCACAATGTTTTCAATATTGTGAAAGTACACATGATTATATTAAAGCAGAAAATGAGAAAGTCATAATTGGATAATATATTTGTAATAAAAAGTAATTGTTTTGGTGGCCTTATTTGATGTAGATGCATAGCAGAGCATGCATCATACATCCATGAATCAATTCCTAATAGCAAAATTTTACATTCTTAACTAAATTGGCTAACAACAAAGAAGAATTGTCACTGCTCGCACAAAGACAGCTAATTAAGTCACAATTGTATCTTGCACTTTTTCACTCCACTATAAGTGTCAAGTTTTATTTCGTGGATAAATTTCATGCACTCTTACAGCAGTGCCTCTCTTTCTGTACTAGAGCATGGTAAATACAAGACATGGCTTTGCTCCATCTAAATCCATGCAGTGTAGCTACCTCACAAGCTCATTAACATATCCATTCATGGAATACTGAATTTATTATTCCATTTCAATCTTTTTAAATGTTTTACAAATGTTCTGTCATTTTCATTTATTATTCATGCATCCTTATGACTATTTAAAGGTACAAAAATGAATAGAATAGACAAAAATGACATGAGGCGAGCAAAGTTATATTATCAAGATTTTGAAGTTCAAACTCATTTTTTTATATTTTCTCCAACAATCAAATGCTTTTTAGATATTATATCAAATATGCATTTTGTGTTATGAGCTTTCAGAAAAGGTATATGTTATTAGAAATTTATAGCAGATTGAATGCACTATATGGCATTAAAGTAACAAGCCTGTTTATGTCAGGGGATATTCTTAAAAATAAATTGAAACATAGTTTGAGATCCAGAGAAATATACAGGTGATATAAGATAAAAACAGGAAAAATACAATATAGTGCATTTTGGAGTATTGGCTTTATATATGATATACTGTGTGTATGCACAGTAATATTAGGATTTACAGTGCAGCTACTATAATTTGGGCCACTTCAATTAGTCTCATTAAGCAAGAAGTATAAGAGTATAAGTATAAGTATAAAAGTACCACTTCACAAAGCCAAAGTAAACCATGATCACACAGTCGGTTAAAAAATCTCCTAGGAGGTTTGAACTTACAATGATTTAGGAAAAGAGCACATTGAGCACATTGATAGAAGACCTTGGAGACATGATAATGTGATTCATCATTTTCCATAGAATGGTTCACCAGTCAAGAACAGAGCATTTTGTTGAGGCTGCAAGCTACAAATTTGCATATCCTTAGAAATCACCTTGAAGTCTTGATTGAGTGCCTTGTATTTGGCCAGTGAACTAATGTATGGAAAATGGTGATTTGGCAACTGCTGTTATCAGTTTTATCACTGTCTGGTTTTTCTGCATCTACAGTACCTTGTCAGTCTTGTTGGATTCATCTTGTTCAAGTGATCCTGGTTATAGTAGCAGCACAAGGTTGAAGAAGGCAAAATGTAACTGTTTTAGAAATAATCGTTATCTTGATATTAACAGATTTCTTGTTGATGAAGATATGTTTATATTCATTTGTTGCAGTTATTGAATAATAAAAGATTAAAAAATTAAATTTTTGATTTAAAGCTTGAAGGATCGTAGTTCAAAATACATTATACAAGTGCAATGATGATGTACTGAACTTTTTAGATTAATAAATGCAGAATACATATCAACTGTTGCCTAGTCTAGTCTTGAGTGAAATACAGTGTAGGACATTTTATTTGACTATACAACTACCAGAATGTCCTACGATTTTTATTTGAACTTGCAAAATTAATTTCCATTTGGTGTACAGCAGAGCTGAGCAGTTGCACCGAATAGTA